TCTCCTGAGGGTTGAGGACTTGGAGGAGCAGTGCAGGACTGGACCTGCCCCGGTCAGGCCCCGCGGCCCCAGATGTGGTGACAAAGCACCAGTCTCGACAGTCACCCCAAGAAATGGGCATGGTGAGGGGTGTGCAAGGGAAGAGCTGTTCTGAGCTCGTGGAAGCCTGGTGGGGTCACAAAGGCAACTGGGAGGTGTTGGGGCTCAGGGCCTGCACCGGGGACAGGCCGCTGCCCTGAGGGTGTGAGGTGCAGGTTCCTGGATATCTTCCTGCACCCAGAGGGGAGTCCAGAACCCACGTCTACTGCAGGAAGTGGGAGAGAAGGCTCAACAAAGAAAATGATTGAAGGGCATGGACGCTCTAGGGCAGGGATGGCGAACCTTTTGAGCTCGGCGTGTCAGCATTTTGGAAAACCCTAACTTCACTCTGGTGCCGTGTCACATATAGAAATTTTTTGATATTTGCAACTTATATTTTTGATATTTATTTTATATATTCAAATGCCATTTAGCAAAGAAAAATCAACCAAAAAAATGAGTTCGCGTGTCACCTCTGACACGCGTGTCATAGGTTCGCCATCACTGCTCTAGGGCTTATAGACCAATCGCCCGGCTGTCTCTTCTCCAGGAAAACCTTCAACTCCAACTGCCCAGCCAAGCCTGAGGGCTTTGGGCCTCTGTCCGGGCCTAGGAGGGGATGATGGTTCTTTTAAACCTTTGCCTTCCTGCTCCGCAAAAATAATAGCATTAAATTGTTTTAATTTGCATTATTTCCTAACTTTCAAGTTTGCACGTATTTTTATATTGTGGGCCTCAGTATTTTTTTGTTTGTTTTTTTGTTTTTGTTTTTGTTTTTTTACTGGAATAAGGCCATTAAGGATTTTGTTCTGTCGGGTGCTCACCGTTTTCTGACGAAGTTTTTGAATCTATTTATATGGTCTTTCACGCACGGTGCCAGTTTCCCCCCCTCGTTTGTGGTTTGTCTTTTAATTGTGTAGACGGGTCTGTGGGTGTCCACAGAGCGGTTTCTCGGGGAACGCCACCGTGGCCCGGTGTTGGTGTGAAATTTACGAAGGCCTTCCCACTTCAAAAGTGCTGTTGTCCTGATGGGTTGATTTGTTTCTCGTTCTTTTTGTGTTTCAAGCTTCTCATGTAAAATTGTAATGATTTGGGGACGTTCGCGTGTGAGGTGGAGGCCAGCCATAGGCCGCCTCGCTGGGAGTGGCCAGGTGGTTCTGCATTATTCGATGAGTCACCTGATCTCTGTCCACACGTCCGAAAGGCCGCGCTTACCATACAGAACAGCCCTGCACGTACTTAGTTTCTAGGCTTCCCATTTATTACATTGTCCTCTCCATGGCACCCTGCCGTTGGGTGGGTCTTGCTAGCTTTGTAATATGTTTCAGTATATTTCAGAACGAATATTCTTGGCGTTTTTGTTCACTAGCCCTTACTCATTGCAGCAATGTCTGTGGCCAAAGAAAATCATAAGCAACGGAAGTATTCACCAAGAGTGAAATGAATAACAGTACTTTTGGTGCATCCTAAAGTACAAACCTGTGTTTAAAATGAATGAGGTGGACCTATGTGTGTTAGAAAGAAGTCCAAGCTATTCGTTCCAAAATGTTCAGACATTGTTCACGGAAAGAAACTGCAATAAAGTCTTTCTTCTTATAAAACCAAACCCTAAACGTGTGTAGCTGTGTGGGAGCAGGCGGGGAAGGGTGCTGCTGGAAACCTCAGTTGCAGTGAGAGGCATGAATTCTGTGACGCAGGAGGCTCTCGGTGTTTGGGGCACTGGGTGAGTCTGGGGTAGTGTAACCCTGAGCACAGAAATGCTGTGCCCAGCAGGGTGAGGAGCAGGGGGAGCTCCTGGGGCAGCCAGGAGGGAGTGAGGGAGAAGACAACTGGGGGGGGCGGGGGTAATAAAGGACATACGCTGAAAAAATTACCCATTGTTTTCTGAAATTCAAATATAACTGGGGTCCCGTGTGTGCTCTCTCATGAGAGGGAAGAACTAAGTTATGAGACCGAGTTCCCCATAAGCACAGCTGAGGATTGTTGAGAGCGTGTTTCCGGCAGGCACTGCCCAGGCGGTTTGGTGGGATCAGCTCGCTTAACCCCCATAGCCCTCTGAGGCAGACACTGTCTTTGTCCTGCGTGAGGGAACTCCTAAGGGAGGAAACTAAGGCACAGAGAGGTTACATGACTTGTCCCAGGTCAACCAGCCAGAAGGTAGCGAGTCAGGATTTGAACCCTGGCCCCCGGATTAAGAGCCTGCCCTTGAAAGCAAGGTCTCTCACCACACATAGAGGAGAGATGATTCATGTTGCCAGACAAGGCAGGAAAGCCCACAAACCAAGCTGACACGGTGGAGGGGGGACATTGAGACAGAGGTGACCGTGAAGTGTGTGTATTTCTCTGGGAGCCAAGTGTACCGGGTGCAGGTTCTCACTCATTGAAGTCCCAAGAGACCTACTGTGTAGGACCACAGCTCCCTGAGAGCACAGCCCAGAGCGTGCACGTAGCAGGTGGCGATGAAGGAATTGTCCCGGCTGGAGACCTCCAGGAAGCTGTCCCTGAGATGGAGGTAGACGTGCAAAGGGCATGCTGGGGAGGAAGCAAAGCTGGGCAGGAGGAGCCATCAGACCTCCCAGGCCGGCGGAGCATCTGCCAGCCGCGGAGAACTCTGGAGAGAACATTGCCTGTAGAAGGGCCCGCATTGGGCAGGAATGGCCAGCCGGGGGCCCTCGCGGTGTCCGTCATCTGTTGGGGGCCCTGAGAAGAGGGAAGGAGCCAGAGCTGGAGGCTGTGCCGCTGAGCGGCTGGTCTTCCCCTGGGAGGGGAGCCGAGCGGGCTGAGTCTTTCACATCCATTCACCTCCCAAAGGACATCGTGGCTGCGTCCAAGTTTGGGCAAAACGTATAAAGCTGCTGTCAGCATCTACGTGCAGGTTCTCGTGTGCACACGTCTCAGCGCTGTGGGTAGACACTGGGGAGCGTGCATGCTGGCTCACATGGGAAGAGCATGTTTAGTTTGTCACAAACTGCCAAGCTGTCTTCCAAAGTGGCTGCAGCACCTCCAAAGCTGAGGGGAGGCAGTAATTGCCCACCTGCTGCAGGACCAGGGGCCCCTCGGGGTGCGGGGAGACTGGGGTCACGTGGGCCCAGGGCTCCCTCGGGCTCAGGGTGTGGCTGCTGGCTACAGGAGGGGCAGGGCTGCCCAGAGGGGACTTAGGGGACTGGTCCCTGGTCGAAGGGAGCTCCACATCGCTTTGAGGTCTCCTCATCTGTGACATGTGGCTAACAGATGACACTTGCCAGCCTGTACCCCACGCACACCCAGCACCTGCAGGCCTGGGGACCCTCCACCCCACTCTGTTCTGCCCATACCCCCAGGAGCAGAGCCCAGGGCCCTGAGGAGCCCGAGTCAGCCATCCATGTCCTCAAACAAACTTCTGGGATCCAATCATAAACCTGAAACATTACCCACCAGGAATGGAATAATAATGAAATAATGCCCCCCTGGCTGTTTTGGCTGAGTGGTTAGAGTGTCAGTCCATGGACCGAAGAGCCACAGTTTCAATTCCTGGTCAAGGGCACATACCTGGGTTGCAGTTTCGATCCCTGGCCTTGGGTTGGAGTGGGTGCACAGGCAGCAACTCGGTGTGTCTCTCACATCAATGTTTCTCTCTCCCCCTCTCCCCCGCCCTTCCCTCCCATACACTCTCTCTCGAGATCAATGGAAAAAATATCCTCAAGTAAGGATAAGGGGGAAAAAAGGAGGGGGGGAATAATGCAACTTCATTATATAAATGTTTAAAGATCAATGGAAAAAATATCCTCAAGTAAGGATTAGGGGAAAAAAGGGGGGAATAACGCAATTTTATTATTATAAATGCGAGTCTCCAAACTTTCCATGCTGGCACTTTTCTGGGTAATCATAGCAATCTCTCAGCCCTGTCGGTGCAGATCTCTCCCGGGCCTCCTCTCCTGCTCCCCAGTGATGCTTGGTAAACACGCCTATTCAACCAGCGCCTCAGACGACATCCCTCATCTCTCAGGGCACCGTCCAAGATCATTCAGGTAAAGGCTGAGGCCTATATGTCTCTAGAAAAAACTCTGTACTCAGGGTGGAGGGCTCAGGCAGCCCCCCAAAGCCTTCATCCTCACCTTCTGAAAATGATTGGCAGTCGACAGCAGTCACTTTTACATGCATTTGGTTTAAATGTTGGCCTCCAAGGGCTCAGAACAATGAGGAATGGCCTTCCTGAAGCGCTCTTGTAAAGTCTGTTGTTTTGAGGTTTGAATAATAAGAAAATGCGTGTGGACGCCTTGTTTATGTGCATTCCTCTTCATCATCTTCATCATGTCTGCCTCAACACTGACTTATCATGGATCTGGAGTTTGGAACTGTGTGAGAGTTGGACATGGCCAAACTGACATGTTGCTTCTAATGTATTCTCACAAGGTGCAAACAGTTCTCAAGCGAGACCTTTCTTGAAGGATCTATGGCCTAAAAGGAATTAAACGTCTACAAACAGAAACAGAATTCTTAGCAGGGTCCTGCTCCCCTGTGAGGAACGGGAGACTCTAAGTCCATAGAGATTAGGATTTTAACTCAATTTCTATTTTCTGCCTGCATTGTTATTGGAATTTTATAAGCTCAAACTGTCTATATTCTCCCTGAAATTATCAGCAAATACATCTTAATATTTATATTAACCATCAGCCTATTTCCTGATTCGACTGTTTAAAGCTCAATTATTGTTTTTCTTCAGAAAATGAATAGCTTTCACGATCATTAGTTGGTGCAGCGATTTACTCTTGAACTAATAAATAGGGTTTATACTTCAACTGACTGATTCAATTTTAGCATAAAAGGTACATAAACAAGCGCGTTGCAAGGAGACAAAATAGTCTCCAGGTTTTTTTTTTTTAAAAAGGTCCCTCTTGGTTTAAAAAGAGCCAAA